GGACTGGGAGTCGGACTGGAGGGGTGGTGGGGTGGGGTATTAGTAGTATACCGTTGGAATTGAAGACCGACCCAAATAATGTGGGCGGGCCACAATACAGGATCGGTAAAATATTGGATCGGCTTGGGCGATACCGATACCAAGTTCCCACGCGGCTCGTATCGGATCTCCCCAGCTGATCCCAATCATCTGATAAATCGGGATTGGATCAGAAACACGATCCGATCCCAATACACGGTATTGGGGGACATTTCGATCCAATCTGGGGATCGGATCTGTTACATCGTTGGTGCTAGTTGGTAAAGGCAGCACTTCTAGTATAGTGTCTTAGCTTCAAGCTAAGGTCGCAGGTTCAAATACTGCCCAAGTCAATTATTTTCTGCTAAATGTCTGAACAGTGCATTTTAATTTTGACAAGATTAACAGTCAAAATGTGCTATGCACATACTATGCATTTACATGAGATTATGCAATATGCAACTTTGGGAAATATAAAATCCTACTTCTTTGGAATATGCAAAATGTTAGTATACAATATGCAAAATCCGCTTATGCAATATGCATTATCCATGTATAGACTAGCTTAGAAATGGTTGACATTAGGGTCTCCTGTTCTCTCACTGTGTTGAAATTCTGTAATCCACAGTGTTCTAAATATCAGCACATCACACCACGGACAACTACCTGTCTCTGCGGCCTGATTTGTCACCTGCCGCTGGTGGCTGCAGTCACTGCGGAGGTGACAAATCATGCGGGAGCAACATCCAAATGTCTGTGGTGTCAGACATGGACTTGGTAGGCTAGGTGGTAAACACAGCACTTCTAGTATAGTGTCTTAGCTTCAAGCTAAGGTTGCTGGTTCAAATCCTGCCCAAGTCAATTATTTTCTGCTAACTGTCTGAAAAAATGCATTGTTAATTTTACAAGCTGGCTCGCATGTTTTCCTTGCATGTTGCACCACTTAAATGTGATATGCAAAATTGTTTGCACACATGCACAGGCCAACTTTGAGCACCCCTGATAGGGAGGTTCAAAGTAGATATTTGCAAAATCCTTAGAGCCCATTTTATAGTTTTTCTCAATAGCTTTCTGAAAAGTGAAAAGGTTGTTCTGATTATTCAGAAACCACAAAATATGAACATATAGTCACGATTCTGAAATCTTGTTGATAAGGACCTTAAAATTGGCTATAAAAACGTTGTAGATTTCTATTGTGAACCCCCCCCCCCCTAATATATAAATGCAGAATTTGAACATCTATGATTCTATGGAGCTCAACTGATTCCAATAACCCAAATATTCATGCTTGCTATTGGCCCCAAATATACTGCATTCCAGTGCATTTGTGTTATCAAGCCAATGGAGGTCTTCCCATTGAAACTTAGAGTATTTTTTGCCCCCCCCATAACTAAATTAAATCTGATCAACACCACAACCAGCTCACATTACAGCCATCACAACAAGGCTTATGAAAAAGCTATTTTGGGAAAAATTAAAATCATAGTGGTTCAAATCAAGTTCTGGAAGGGTTCTAAATCCCCATGGGAATTCATCTAATGGAGGACTTCCCATTTTCCAAATTTGTTGATTTGAAGGACATCCCAAACTTGATTAGCAGATGAAAATAAATCAAGGTCAAGTTTTTGCCAGCCAATAGAGCTTATGACCCTATTCTAAGTCAAGCAATTTAGGTGACAAGAAGTCTTCCAATATGTATCAAGATCATCAGTGCTGTGATATATTGGTGCCAAAGATTCTGTAGTGTTAGCAGTTGATACACTAACAGTACACACCAAAACCAAACTTTTCAGCAGATGATGTACACTAACAATGACAGTAGTGTATCAGATCCCCTGGTGCCAATGGCAATACTGCACCAAGGCAATTTTCAGCCCCAGTACACTGTTAGGTCCAGGGCTTGGGGAACTTGGGTGAAATGGAGGGTGTACAGACATCACAGTGAAGCAATAGTGGGGCTCATGAATGAAATTCATCAAATTTAAGCCCATTTCAAGGTGTTTATAAACATTTTTTTCAAAATTTCAAAATTTGTGTGGATTGACCAGAAACACCCAAATCTGCCCAGCATACCAAGTTTTTAACTTTTTTTTTTTGATAAAGTTTAATTTAAAATTGGCACTAAAAGTTTAGGAATTTCAATCATGAACCCCACTAATGAAGCCCGTCTAATTGATAATTCAGTGAAGGTTCTCACTAAAAAGGATCATATCATGAAATGAAGAAAGGAAAGAATTATTCTCACATGTTTTTAATTTTCCAAATTAAAACATGCAAACTTGGTGTTGACCTGAAAATTCACAAAGGAAAAATTGATTTACCAAGCTTATCATGTGTAAGAAAGATGGTTTAGGCTGGCCAAACTTTTCTCCATCTCCTTGTAGAAGAAGGATTGAAGAGATGGGATGTATCATCCAGAAGAACAGTAGAAGGGTCAAACATCCCCACTATCTGTTTCATTAAAATTTGAAGCCAGAACACCCTTCAATTTCTCACATGACTGTGATGACATGAGTCATGGGCCTGGAAAGCTGGGTGTCGGGCGGGGGCTCGTATTCAATGTTGACCCAGACCACTTTGGATATATTCAAAATGACGCCATATCACTTGCACTGACAAAAAAAGCCCACCAACAATTTCCCAGGGCACGCATCCATCAGCAGACAAACCTCAGCTTCTCATAGTACAACTCAAGAAATAAGTCATGCCTCCCACCAAGTCTACCAAGGCCAATATCAGCGCAGATGCCCTAGAAGATACGCAGTTCTCGATCAATGGCACTGAACCACAGGACGATGGACATTCTGAGAACGAACCACCAAAGAAGAAACGGAAAAAGGCTAACCAAAAAGCGAAGAAGACTAAAAAGGCAACCGATCCACCATCTGCCCAGAATGACGCCGAGGCCGCCCAGGACGAAGATTCGGCTGCTCAAGCCAACGACGATGATACCACGAAGGAGGATCTGAAAAGTCCTGTCAAACCTGCCGTGACTGCTTCTTCTAGTAGCAAACTCACACCAGCGGCTATCGCAGAGCTCAAGCGAAGAAAGAAGGAAAAAGCTAAAACGAAACAGAAACTCAGGAAGGAGAAAGCGATACAGCTGAAGGGTGTCAAAGAAGAGCAAGTAAGCTTCTCGTCTATTCTCTCACCTCACTCTCAACACGCAGGCTATTTGAACCAATTGCTGAACCGTTGTGATTGCTCTACATAGTGTCTCCATATACATCCCGCTTGCGAGTCGACAAACGAGTCGAGTTCGATTGGACTTCAACCGCCAGACCTCCAGATCAACTACCTCAAAGATCGACAGAAACGAGCTCTGCCGCTTCTCTCTGACCTGGAGTTTGAAAGCCTGCCCTTAGAGAAATCTTGGTTGGTAGACGTCAGTGATAAGCCACTGAGGGGTCACCTCGGTGCGTGGCTCGAGACCGGAGGTATGTCATCTCATTCTCAATATTTTTCTTTTCATCCATCCCTCCTCCCACGATATTGTGTTGATTGGATTACCTGCCGTCTCCAGCCGTCCCCGGGCTGCTAGATGCTGTTAAGGAAACTCCCGATAACGTGGGCGCCCCAGTGGCTCTAGTGATATCGAGTTCCGCTCTGCGTGCTGTTGATTTGTGCAGGTCAGACTTTTCACTCCTCTCAAATCCAAATTTATGTTATTTAGAAGTTTTGCTGTGCCCATCCACAGATCTAAATTAACAAATCTTTCCCCATCTACAGAGAAGTCAAGCGATTGATTGCGAACCCCAAAGAATCCGGCGAGATTACGAAGCTATTTGCCAAACATTTCAAGCTCCCAGAGCATGTGAGCCATCTCAAGGAGACGAAGGTATCGATCGGGGTGGGCACGCCGGACCGGATCTCGAAGTTGTTGACGTACAAAGACGACGAAGGATTAAAGCTAGATCGCTTGAAATTCCTCATCCTCGATCTCACCTGGTTGGATGCCAAAGGATTCAACCTGACCGAATTGCCCGATTCGGCCCACAAGGCCGCTCTTTGGAAGTCTCTCTTAGGTCTTCCTAAAACACTTGAAAGATTCCAATCTGGCAAGACCAAGATCGTTCTCTTCTGATCTGATAATCTGTTCCATCATCGTTGTTTTCCATATCGCATGGTTCCTTTTTTCATAAACTCGCCCATCACTAGTACTCCTATAGAACCAAGGACAAGAGTTTGAGCTGTCCTCACATTGGATCAATCAACCCGGTCTGCTCACTAATTTCACTCATCTACATATGTTATGTTGCGCAAACTATCTTGAATTTCATACCCTGCACTTCGCCCCGAACAGTTATCGGAAGCATTTACAAGAATAGGTGAAAATCATGAGGGCACCAAACCCAACCAAATTCTCAGTCTCCGTAAGAAAACCCAAAGGTGGCCTGATAGCATTAAAGCATTGTTGTTTCAAGTACACTAAGGGGGCGGTGAGATGGGGTTGCTTTCCTATCAATACTAGCCTTGATCAAACAATTTAGAGTCCAGGAGAGGCCTGACTAGGTTGGAACATCTCCAGTGGTTAACTTGGCTTAGTGAGCAGTGTGGTGGTCTTGCAGTTCGAGTGCACCACTGGCATTAATTATTGGCCATGATGACGTCACCACCCATGCTAATGCATAGGCCACCCCCGGCCTGAAGTTTAATACTCCGACCGACTGACTGCCAGTCAACCCAAGAAACTTGACCACATCATCCATCCAAGCACATCGCGGTATGTACAGTATCCTTCCCTCTCCTCCAGATATACATAGAATACCTACAAGCTCGAGAAAGCCAAAGACTGATCGCACCATTGTTTCCCGTCTTATAGGCTTCTATTGTAAACAAGGCCGCCTTTCTTCGAGACACGATGGATTCCCTCGATCTTAATGTCCATTCGGCTATCTTGACCTCCCTGGCCCAGTGCTATGCTACATCTTCAGCAAACGAGGAACCTGTTGCCATACTCGCCAAGCTATCCGCGCTCAGTCTGAGTGATGGGACAAGCAAGAGTGTGAGTGGTCTGCTTCCGATCGATTACTGTCCACACCACACGCTGTACTACATCTTGGGCTCTTCAAAAGCTAATCCAATCTAATTATCACATTAGTCTGAACCCAGTGACCATTCAAATCAACCAGAAACCTCTAACTCGACATCATCCGTAGAAATCAAAATCACCGATTCTCAGGCTCACTATATAATTGCTTATGCTGCTTACATTTCCCAATCAGCTGTCTCTCGGGTCTCGGTTTCTTCAGCCGAAATTCAACAATTATGCGATATGATCCGGAATCTGGTTCACTGGTCTATTGAACTGAATATTAGCACTGAGAATGCAGCAGAATGGCCTATCATCGACGAAATCACGTATCGCTTGGTATTGGCCATGTTGGAGATCGGCTTACTTTCTGAGCCTGTGGACAGAGAGAAACTAGTCGGTGCATTAGGTGCTTTCATTACTGAACTTGGGTCTGGGCTATTCAACGGATCGCCAATTCGAATCGTAACCCACTTCCTTCCATGTCTCTCTGGCTTGAGGCGCGCCCTTGGTTCAGGTTTTTTTCCCTTCACCACAGCTCACCTCAATCAACTCTTCTCGTCCACCGCCAATTCTCATATCTTTTCCCTTTCTGCTCCATCGAAGGAGCATGTCGAATCGGCTCTCGCGGCTTCCTCAGAAAGTAACCTAACCGATTATCATCGTCATCAAATCGATCATTTCAAGGCTAGATATTTCATCATTGGTTTTCCGCTTTCGCCAAGCTTGATCGTTTTTGCTGGATTGCAGCAATATCGGAACTGTCTTGAGCAGTGTCTTGTTTCTGTTGATCTGACATCATCGAATGAGATTTCGGAAACAGATCCCAACGATGGGGGATGGGCTCATCTCAAACAATCGGCTAGTGCGAAAACGGGGATCGGCTTTAGCTCAGATACAATTCACGATATCAATTCCAAAATGACCGTTCTGTTTGAAGAGTATTACGGTATCCATCAACAAGAATTAGAAACTGGAAGTCCTGACGATTACACTATCAAGATCATTTGCGAAATCATCAAGCTTTCCTGTGTTTGTGCCGTCATCCTGGACAATGTTTCAGATCAAGTGTTTGATCAAATGTTGATGTTACATACTGAAGAAGCAATCATCATTCACCCCGCCGTTCAAATTGCGGCCTCGGAGTCGCTCATCGTCTTAGCGCGTAACTTTCCAGACTTGCTCGACAAAATCACCGAAACCTTGCGCACCTATGTTTCATCCACAATCCCCCCGCCCGAAATCGATACAAACCATATTGATGAAGCTTGTCCCTCGTTGCTTGCCGCTGCACATGCCTTGGCCGTCTGTCTGGAGCTTAAAAATTCACCTGACTTCACTCAAGCTACGATTTACGCCCTCGTTAATCACGTCAATACGACGCAGGCCGATCTAACCTTGCACAGGACTCACGATGTGCAGAAAACACCACCCCTTCAGACTCCGGCTAAAGAGCGGGCAGAATCCATTTCCCTTGAAAATCAAGGGCTTGTGTCAATCAACGCCCTCAGTACATTGTTGATTCTGTTAGAAAAAGTTGATCAAGACGATTTGAATTCAACCATTGCACCAATGCTCCTGCTCTGTCAGAAAGGTACTAACTCATACTTGGAAGCCGCCATCCTAAACATTGTAGCTGATTTGGCTGTTGATGTCAGCCAGCAGACGTTTGAAGATGTGATTTCTACTTTCACATCTCTCACAAAAACCGCTACTCTGGAACTCACGACGAACGATTCCAAAGACGTCTTTCAGCTTGGAATCTTCCGTGCGCAGGCAAAGCTCTCTAAGAACTTATGTGAACAAGAAAATTTCAGCGAGATTTATTTGATGGAGCTGTTGAGGTTGTTTATCGACAAAGGGCAAGCGATTCAGAGTGCCCACACTGCTCTACCCAGCTTTCCACATCTCATCAACCATCTTGGTGTGCTAGTACCTCTCATAGCAAATTTATTACACCCCGACGGTAGTTATAATCCAAGGAAGACCAGTTCATTGAAACTGTCTGAGTTGTTCCGGAATTTTTGGTATGTTTGTGTCCTGTTCGGCTTCCTCTCGTCGACCAGCCCTCCCAGGACAACAGCCGGCAACGCATCAGTACCTCCGGACTGGCTGATCGAAAGTCTCCGACAAATCGCTACAAAATCACCCACATTGACTCACTTGACTTCAATAAATTACGTGACTACCGAGCTTGATTACAATCCGATTCTGAAATTTCCTGATCCGCCGGTATCCACAACACCATCCAAGTCGAAGCAGAACCATGCCCATGTTCCAAGCCCTCACCAGATAGCGCTCGATCAAGCTAAGAAGCAGGAGCTGGCCAGTTTAATTCCCACTCATTCCGGCCAGATCAAAAGTTTAAATTTTATACAGACGATCTTCCTTCTGACCACTGCTCGGCTTGAAATCTTCCGGGCTGAAGACTGCAGAGCTTACAACATATTAGAATATTTCAATCATGTTAGTCCCGATGAAGTTGATGTCCACAACCTATTTGGATGCCTGGTCACAATATCTGAAAAAGTAAGTCTGACTAACAAAAGCGCTTTGAGTTCACACCCCCAAGTCTGATCAATCGGATCTTCTTCAGGTTCTTGGTGCATTTATTAGTTCATTCCAGCAACATGCCATCAGACATGCGGAAGTCCCACACGTCCATGATCAAATCCCTGAAGTCTTGAAGTTTACCTGTCATCCTACGACCCGAATTCGGGTAATTGCCTTGAGATACTGTCAAGACATGATCATTGCATTTCCTACTCTAGTTTGTGACTTTGATACGGTACTCACCATGCTTGAGTTGATCACTTTGCTAAGAATTTCGTGCGAAGGCGAATACGAAGATGAGGTATGTTTCGATTTGTCGTCCTATGCATCATGATTGGATTTCTCTAACAACGTGTTTTTCTTTTTCTGGATATTAGTATTCTCCTAAATACGAATTTTACTCGGAGAGGGCAGATTTAACAATCGAGTTAATAGACGATTACGCTGTCCGTCAGCAAATTTTGAACGATCTCTGTCGATCTGTCAAGAACTGGTTATCGATCGCATTGGCCCGTGCACCGTTGGAAATGAAAAGTATATTTTTGAGATACTTGGATGCTGTTACGTCTCCTATCTCTATGAATCCGATAGGTAACATTGAGATGGGAAAGTCGATCGCACTGGAAATGGCGAAAATGATACCATCCAATTCGCAGTTGTCTTATTTGCCCTCATGGGGAAACTGGGCTCCCGATTTATCGAACGATCTCGCGCGGTCATTTTCAAATAGGATGTTCTACAATGGCCAAGCCATCCATCTTTCTTCGCTTCCGGAAAACGAATGTCAGGCCCGCTTGGAGGAATGCCGAGCTGAATTGAAACAAATTATGAGACAACTCACCACTGGCGGGAAGAAGACGTCGATAACTCAGTTGTCAAGTGCTTTATACCGAGCCGGTTCACATGTGATCGCCAGTCCCAAGCCGGATCTCGAACTTTTACAGCGCTTGGTCTCGCTTCCTATCAGAATGTTTACGCCCTTATCAGTCTCACTAGGTCTGGAAGTGTGGACTTGGCTGATTGATGTGAAGCCTGAAGTAGAAACCAAGCTGATAACCGAGGTGATGACCATGTGGAACTGGACGCACCGTCGACGAAAAGGACTGTTTTCTAACTCCTTAGATTCAACCAACCCACTGAATCAAAGCATTCAATTCAATCCGACCGATCGAGACGAGATGCACCACCATCTCAATTCGATCAAAAGGATGCTCAAGCCCCATAGTATTTTACTTGACTTTCTTTCGAGTAGATTCCAAGCAGCCCGTTATCAAAACCGCAACTTGGTGATGGCCACCATGAGATTCTTGCGGGAATCCTTCGAAAACGTTTCCGATTGGTGCAAACATCCCTTGAGCAGAGAGTTGAGGATTCGATTGCTAATCTTTGGTTTTAGCATATGCCAGGGGAGTCGAATGGAAGACAATGTGGAACATCTCTTGCGGGATTTATGCTATCATGCTTCGTTTGATTGGTTCAGCTTGACTAGCAGCTTCGGCTTTGGATCCAATCGATTACAACATGAATCAGAACTCCGGCTGCTCCAAGAATTATTGGAGATGGTGAAGGTTGACATACCCGTGAACGCTTATCATCTTTCTAGTATAGAGTCAAACACCAATCTTCGTTTACTCCCAGGTAAGTGCTCTATCTGATTACCTTGCGCCATTGCCATAAGTGATGTGCCAAATGACTGAGTCTGCTCTTTGAAAACACTCAGGCCGTTTGACTCCCTCGGCAGCATCACTGGCTCACACTGATCGAAACCGACTACTCCAACTTTTTTTGGAAAACGAGATTATACGGTTAATGGTTTGGCATAACCCATTGAACGATCCGAAGAAGGGAAAGGATATTGAAGCAAATTTATCAAAGTTGAAGGGAGAAGTGAGCATGCTACATATGTTCGAGTCTCTATTCTCAAAAAATCGAGTACTTGCTGATTCTCACAAATAATACCAGGCGGAAGTCAAACTGATGGTTCAAACGGCGTGGTCCATCAATCCACATCTGGCGCTGAGGTTGGCCGAACGATTCAAAAATGTTTATATCGAAGACGAGACCCGCTCTCTGGTTAGAAGGTATCCACACCAAGCTCGCAAGGTTCCGGAAGCTTTGGATTACTTCGCTCAGCCATTTGACCCTGCAATAATTCCCAATTTACATGTATGTATTTAAGTTGCTTTTATTGATCATTATGATTTTATTCGTGATGGATTGATCGTTTTTCTATATGGAATTCCAATCCGACGAATTCAGCAAATCTTATACTGGAAGAAAACTCCGGTCATGACTGCACTGACCTACTTTTTACCGCAATACGACAACGATCCTATCTTGTTGCAATATGCCATGAGGGTCCTCGAAGAGCACCCAGTCGATGTCACGTTCTTTTACATCCCACAAGTCGTCCAGGCCCTACGCACAGATACTCTAGGTGAGCATGAGACCAGTGCTCGAATTCAACTTCCTCAGATAGATAAAATCTCGTTCTCCTTCGAGAAATGAATGCTTGGATTGCTTTGCAGGATATGTCGAGCGGTTTATTTGCGAGACGGCTCAGGTTTCCCAGCTCTTCTGCCATCAGATTATCTGGAACATGAAAGCAAACACTTACAAAGGAGATGATGCGACTGAGGTAAGCTTCGATTCTACTGCTCCTCGTCCAGGTCGCCGTTGGTAACCTTTTTTTGTAGGCAACATGCCAAATACTAATACCTGTTGTTTCATCAGGCCGATTCTTTAAAACCAACCTTGGATAGGATCATGGAATCAATCATCAGCTCTTTGTCAGGCGAGGCCAAAACGTTTTATGAAACTGAATTCACATTTTTTGATGAAGTGACCAGTATTTCAAAAACTTTGAAGGATTATCTCAAGAAGGATAAAGCTGAAAAAAAAGTAAGTCAACAAAATGAGCGAAGCTTTTCACAGAAAGCGAAACAAAGTTGACAACCATAAGTTTTCTCTTACAGGCAAAGATCGCTGAGGAGTTGGCCAAAATCAAGTTGCCTAAGGGGGTTTATTTACCTAGTAATCCTGATGGCACGGTGGTCGATATCGATCGTACCTCTGGCCGTCCTCTTCAAAGCCACGCTAAGGTTTGTCTTGTTTTTTTTAACAATTGTATCATTGTGAGATTTATCTTGGACTCACTTTGATTATCTGCCATCTGATTTGAATCCAGACACCATTTATGGCAACGTTCAAAGTCCACAGGGAAAAAACGGTCCATCTTGATGATGATGGTAACGATGTTGAAGAAGCTCACGATGTCACTAAAGCTGTCGACACTTGGCAGGCTGCTATCTTCAAAGTTGGCGATGATTGTCGCCAAGATGTCTTGGCATTACAACTGATCGCCATTCACAAAACAATGTATGAGAGCATGTGTGTGGATCTCCACCTCGTACCTTACAGAGTTACTGCAACGGCACCTGGGGTAAGTTTTTTTTTTTTTTTTTTCGATTGTCATTGGCATTTGTCCAAAGTCAAAATCTAACCATTCCGAACCTTCTTACCAGTGCGGAGTAATCGATGTGATTCCCGATGCAACCTCCCGTGACGAGATGGGCCGAGCAAAGATCAACGATTTGACTTCATTTTTTATCGGCAAGTTTGGTCCAGTGGATTCGATTGGCTTTCAGACGGCACGAATGAATTTCATTCGCTCGATGGCGGCCTATTCGGTGATGTGCTATCTGATCCAAATCAAAGATCGTCACAATGGAAACATTATGATCAATGGACAGGGACATGTTACGCACATCGATTTTGGTTTTCTATTTGACATTGGCCCAGGCGGGATCAAATTCGAGCCGAACTCATTCAAACTGACGGGCGAGATGATTGCCCTGATGGGTGGACAGAACTCGGCCGGGTTCCGAGCTTTCCAAGAATTGGTCATCAAGGGCTTCTTGATCTCCAGACCGTTCTTCAAGGAGATCGTCACCTGCGTCAAGTTGATGAGCGACACTCAGCTCCCGTCTTTTAAGGGCGAATCAACTATCACTAAATTCATCGAGCGCTTTAAACCTAACTTGTCTGACCGGGAGGCCGCCGTGTTCATGCAATCCGTTATCTCCAATGCTAAACAAAACGGTCTTTCTTTGTTGTATGATGAGTACGTCGTTTACCTTTTTCTTTCGATGTGACAAAATAAAACAGTCTGCAGAGCGAGTTTTCATTCTTCTCAATTTGACATTTTTTGCTTCTTTTTTGGCAATTGTTTTGGCAGATTTCAATGGGTGACCAATGAAATCCCTTACACTCAGAAAGATTGGATAACAAGACCTAGTTGAAAAAAGAGGAAAGAAGAAGAGCAACACATGGAAACAGACCGGCTTTTGTCAAGTTGATCTGCTACTTTCCATACACTCCAAGCTCTGGCATATTTTTCTTTATCTTACATTTGAGATTTTCAAGCTCTATTCCTCATGGACTCGATGGCTTTTTGTGCGTTTGTATGTGAGTGTATGTGTGAATACAGAATTGAATTAGAATCAAATCAAGTCAAGAAGAATCATTAAAGGACATCCTACATAGAACCTAACTTATTTTTTTCACACTTAATCTCTTCACTCCTTTTATCTCAATTAAATTTCTTTCGTCTTTCATGTTTCTCCAGTTCATTCATTCATTTTGTTGGTTATACTCTGCAGTCACCTGTCTTTTTTTTCTCTGATCAGATTACACAGTTGTGCTTTGCAATTTTATCATGTTAGAACCTTTCCAAATATTAGTGTTGGAGGCTGTAGCTTGTCAATTCAGCTTTCAAAAAGATGTTTCCCACGGGGGAGTGTCACGATTCCAGTGTGGTCAGAAACTCCCCTTGCTAACGCGCTCTCTGGCTGATCAGTGTCGTGGCTAGTCCTCGCGCGCGTGGTCTCTATTTAACCGACCGAACCTCGCATTTGGGTGTGGACGCGGGCTGACGAAGAACGACGGAGGAGTGCTTGGGTGCTGGGTGCAGAAGGGGGTGTTGGTCTGGCGCCTCCACTCTTCCACAGGGCAGCTTGGGCAGGCCCACCGGCGAGCGCTGATGCTACTACCACAATTTCCCTCGCCGGGCGGCTCCCCGCGGAACTCGGCACAGGTCTTTACGGCCCAGGTTGATGTGGGCGTGAGATTAGGGGCGCTGCATGCTTTGCATCTCATCTTGATCTCCATCGAGCCTGTGAGGGCAGGCCCGAGCCCTAGCATGCACATGACCCAACCGGTACTCGTTGCGCGCATGTTCCGGGAGACTTGGTGGTGGGGTTTCAGAGGACACTGGACAGTGATGGGTTTCGAACTTGTGACTAATCTTGAAGATATGGTGGGCTCTTGAACAGATGGTGGGATTGAATACCACTGTGCCAACAGACCATATTGGATGATGATCACTCAAGGCACTATAAATGGTTTCAGATCACCTCAGTTGGTGCTAGAATCTGTGATATGTATGTACCCAAGCCCTGCAAATCAGGTTCCCAAATCAAATGTCCAAATGAATTTGCCCCAGCCAAATTAGGTTGATGCTTCAGTCCAACTGATTGGGTAGTATAATATTAGTACTTAGTCACACAAGTGAAAAGTCCCTCCAGTGCTTGTGGATGTGAGCACCCTTCTGTCAGGGAGGTACTACTTGCCCGTGATATATGTGGCTTACATGACAAGAACCAGCCAAATGGCTCGAGCATCAAAATGTTCATCAGATAACCTTCATCATCAAAACTGGTGAAGCCAATGTCACATTGAAATGCTGGGTGTTTTTTAGTGTGTAAAATATCCTCCCAGATGATTATGGCTGCTGGATTACTTCATTTAAAAAAAAAACTATCACACATAAATGTTGCATTTTTTTGGTGGAGTGGTGGATTGTGGGGTGTTAAAAAGGCAAATATGAAACAAAAAAATGTGAAAAATTATTGCATGACATTTTTTTAAAAAATGATCATTCAATTTTTTTGTTTTTTTCAATAATTTCTTTAAACATACAAAAAGGGCCTTGCAAAAACAACTCCCAAGGATTTGTCGGCAACTCCCAAATACGGTTGTTGGATGTCCTAGAGATCGTTCGTTTGTACTTGGGTACCTGTTGAATTTTTTCAGAAAATAGGTACCAAGTACCGCACCAGGCACCTCCCGGCGGGTACCGGCAGTACTTTTGGCAGGTACCGCCGGTACCTCCCCTCTCTTTGTCACCTAATTTCACTCCCAGAGTCCCAAGTCACTTTTTTCATAATTATTGTACCCTTTAAGTCAACCTCTTGATGTTTTTTTTCTTATTTTTTTAATAAAACAATTATCTTGATGTGAAGATTTGTGGTTCAAAAGTCTTTCAAATTTTGTATTCTCTTCCTCTTTATTTATGTGTGATCAATTTTTGACTTTTTTTTCTCTTTCAAGTTTAGCCTTCATTATGTCCCCCCCCCCTCCCTTTCTTCAACTGCCACCTTTTTCAATTATTTTCTTATTTTCTAGAACCCTCCCGATGAGCTGGATTAAAAACCAGCTCATTGGGAGGAGACCCTTCAAAACCATTGAAGCAATGGTGAATACTTGCAGCATCTGGAAGGTTAATTAATGATTATTCTTCCCACAAGAATGCAAAAATATTTGCTGAATCATGTGCACTAAGAATATTTTTCATTATCTAAATTGGCTTAAAAGGCATTTGTGTGTTGAACCATTTCTCAAGGGATTTTCTCAGGGTAAGTTATTGTATCCTGGCTGATTGGGAAATTTCCCCCAATTTATTTTGAACCATCAGGTTTTAGTCCTGATTTGGTATGCTCATGGTTATTGTTGTTCACTTAAATGGTTTTGAATCCAGCTCATTGGGGGGGGGGGGGCCTCCCAATGAGCTGGTTTTTAATCCAGCTCATCAGGAGGGCTTCCTGCCGATGAGCTGGACCTTGTACCAGCTCATCGGGAGGGTCTCCTGATGAGCTTATGTTGAATCCAGCTCTTCGGGAAGTCTCCTCCCAATGAGCTTATGTTGAATCCTGCTCTTCGGGAGGGTCTCCTCCTGATGAGCTGGATTATAAACCAGCTTGGTGGGAGGGTCTCCTCCCGATGAGC